GCGCTTGGATTTGGTCTTGTCTCGGTCTTGGAGGCGCTTGACTTGGTCTTTCTTGTTCTTGAAGACGCTTGGACTCGGTCTGTCTCGGTCTTGAAGGTGCTTGGATTTGGTCTTGTCTCGGTCTTGGAGGCGCTTGGACTCGGTCTTTTCTTGTTCTTGAAGACGCTTGGACTCGGTCTTGTCTCGGACTTGAAGGCGCTTGGATTTGGTCTTGTCTCGGACTTGAAGGTGCTTGGATTTGGTCTTGTCTGGGTCTTGAAGGTACTTGGACTCGGTCTTGTCTCAGACTTGAAGGCCCTTGAACTCGGTCTTGTTTTGGTCTTGAAGGCGCTTGGGACTCGGTCTTGTCTTGGTCTTGAAGGCCCATGGACTCAGTCTTGTCTCGGACTTGAAGGTACTTGGACTCGGTCTTGTGGATCATTGGATTTTGGATTTTTTTGATAATTTGGTAGTGTTGTAGTATCTTTTTACCAGTTTTTTTAGGGTCTTGGTCTTGTCTCGGACTCTAACGCATTTGGACTCAGTCTTGTCTCGGTCTTGAAGGCGCTAGGACTCGGTCTTGTCTGGGTCTTGAAGGCGCTTGGACTCGGTCTTGTCTCGGACTTGAAGGCGCTCGGATTTGGTCTTGTCTTGGTCTTGAAGGTGCTTGGACTTGGTCTTTTCTTGTTCTTGAAGACGCTTGGACTCGGTCTTGTCTCGGACTTGAAGGCGCTTGGATTTGGTCTTGTCTCGGTCTTGAAGGTGCTTGGATTTGGTCTTGTCTTGGTCTTGAAGGTGCTTGGACTTGGTCTTTTCTTGTTCTTGAAGACGCTTGGACTCGGTCTTGTCTCGGACTTGAAGGTGCTTGGATTTGGTCTTGTCTCGGACTTGAAGGTGCTTGGATTTGGTCTTGTCTCGGACTTGAAGGCGCTAGGACTCGGTCTTGTTTTGGTCTTGAAGGCGCTTGGACTCGGTCTTGTCTCGGTTTTGAAAGCATTTGGACTCGGTCTTGTTTTGGTCTTGAAGGAGCTTGGACTCGGTCTTGTTTTGGTTTTGAAAGCGCTTGGACTCGGTCTTGTCTCGGTTTTGAAAGCGTTTGGACTCGATCTTGTCTCGGACTCAAGGTTTAAACTCGATGAGTTTGATCATATTTCACTACAGCCACTGTTGTCGGCAGTTCGCAAAACAGGTTTAAAACTCCAACCCACTTTCTTCACAGTTTTCTGTAAAGTCTTACTGGAAGTTCTCTTAAAAATTAGGTTCTCAAACTGTGGGTGAGGGTCCAAAAAATCAGCACAGTACAGTTTACTTGGCTTATTCTAAGTCTGAATGAACATCAATAAGATAAAATGGAGATCGATTTGTAAAAACATTGATATATATACAGTATATGACAAAATAAAAATAAATGTCGAAAATGACAAATATGGTCTCGATTTGGTCTCTATGGGCCGTGGTCTTGGTCTTTGTCTTGTCTTGGTCTCGGCCTTTAAAAGTCTTGGTCTTGACTCGGTCTCAACCCTGAGAGGTCTTGGTCTTGTCCTCTCGGTCTCGACCCTCAGAGGTCTTGGTCTTGTCTCGGTCTCGACCCTCAGAGGTCTTGGTCTTGTCTTGTCTCGGTCGACCCTCAGAGGTCTTGGTCTTGTCACCCTCAGAGGTCTTTGTCTTGTCTCTGGTCTCGACCCTCAGAGGTCTTGGTCTTGTCTCGGTCTCACCTCAGAGGTCTTGGTCTTGTCCTGGTCTCGACCCTCAGAGGTCTTTGTCTTGTCTCCGTCTCGACCCTCAGAGGTCTTGGTCTTGTCTCGGTCTCGACCCTCAGAGGTCTTGGTCTTGTCTGGTCTCGACCCTCAGAGGTCTTTGTCTTGTCCTGGTCTCGACCCTCAGAGGTCTTGGTCTTGTCTCTCGACCCTCAGAGGTCTTGCTCCTGGTCTCGACCCTCAGAGGTCTTGGTCTTGTCTCGGTCTCGACCCTCAGAGGTCTTGGTCTTGTCTCTCGACCCTCAGAGGTCTTGGTCTTGTCTCGGTCTCGACCCTCAGAGGTCTTGGTCTTGTCCTGGTCTCGACCCTCAGAGGTCTTGGTCTTGTCTTGTCCTGGTCTTGGACTGTCCTCAGAGTCTTGGTCTCTCCTCGACCCTCAGAGGTTTCTTGTGCGGTCTTGACCCTCAAAGTCACTGTAATTGGGCATTTTTGTCGCAATATTCATCTAAAACAACTTAATAAAAGAAACAAATCCGCTTACGTCCGCGTTAGAAAAGTGCGGTGCCCAATGGGAGCTGCCATCGCCGTAAACGTCAAACCTTGAACCACCTTGAAGTCGGGAGCCCCTCCTACAGACAGAGCTGCAGATCACACTGACGAGTAGCAGATTTGTTTTCATTTGTACTAAAATGACTACGTGACGCTGCAGAATCCTACACGTATCACTGATTAAGAAGAAAAAAAAATTGGAGAATACCCAATTTAAGATGACTCAAACACGGCCGAATCACTCCAAATACAAATTCGGATGAGTAAACGAAAAAGGGAAACAACTATAACGTGGTTAAACGCTCTGAAAAGTCCATTTTGCATAATAGGTCTGCTTTAAGATTCATTTCCCGGCTCGCACCTTTCACAAAAATACTCTATACACAAATAACTACGCATAAGCAATTAAGGCCTGTTTTTCGATCCTTAACTGTTAGAAACCTCACAACTTCTAGCACCTGTTCTGTTAAAATATATGTAAATGTATGCTTTGTTGAACATTCATTTCACTGCAGCAATACCAGCTTGTAAAAAAAAACGAAAAAGCAGCCTCTCTATATTCAGCTGACGACAACAGATTGCAGCTAGAGCAAGTTAGGTCAAATTACAGGTGAGGGATACTTTCTAACAAGACCTCAAAAGAGCACTGCAGCATAAAAAATAGGTCCAGGGAGTAGCAACGTACACTGCAAAAAGAAGCGGACTAAGGGAGAGTGACGTCCCCTATAGCGAGCGGCTCCAGGCACATGAAGCTCATCGAGGTTAGCGGTTAAAGGGGTGAAGAGTTTCATACTGGGAATAGGAATTTATTTAAGGTCAAAATAGTGGGGGGAAAAAAAAAAAAAAATAATGAAAAACACCAGGATCATTTAGTCATCATTTTGGGGGGAGGTGCCGTGGTTAAGTCCTGGCTAAATTCTCTTTTAGTCCTGTTTTAGACCCTGTTTTAGTCCTGTTTATAGACCTGTTTTTAGACCTGGTTTAGTACTGTTTTAGTCCTGTTTTAGACCCTATTTTAGACCTGTTTTAGTCCTGTTTTAGTCTGCTTAGTCCTGTTTATAGACCTGTTTTTAGACCTGGTTTAGTACTGGTTTAGTCCTGTTTTAGTCCTGTTTATAGACCTGTTTTTTTTAGACCTGTTTTAGACCTTTTAGTACTGGTTTAGTCCTGTTTTAGTCCTGTTTTTAGTGGTTTAGTCCTGTTTTTAGACCTGGTTTAGTACTGGTTTTAGTCCTGTTGATAGACCTGGTTTAGTACTGGCTTAGTCCTGTTTTAGTCCTGTTTATAGACCTGTTTTTAGACCTGGTTTAGTACTGACTTAGTCCTGTTGATAGACCTGGTTTTGTACTGGCTTAGACCCTGTTTTAGTCCTGTTTATAGACCTGTTTTTAGACCTGGTTTAGTACTGGTTTAGTCCTGTTTTAGTCCTGTTTTAGACCCTGTTTTAGTCCTGTTGATAGACCTGGTTTAGTACTGGCTTAGTCCTGTTTTAGGCCTGTTTTAGACCCTGTTTTAGTCCTGTTTATAGACCTGTTTTTAGACCTGGTTTTGTACTGGTTTAGTCCTGTTTTAGTCCTGTTTATAGACCTGTTTTCCACGTGGCATAAAGTAGGGAGGAATGGTCCACACGGGGTATGGGAGGGGGGGGTTAGTGCTGTCCAGTCCAGTGAGGTTCATTTAGTCTTCCAGTAATTTATAGGTTCATTTTTTCAGACCAAGGGTGTGTTCTCATAGTTTTGTTAGGTTTGTTTTCATTCCCTCATTCCCAGTTTCGACAGCTGCCCTGCGCTCTTCCTCAGAGTCACGTGATGTTGCTGTGACGTGTCTGGTCAGCTGATTTAAACAGGTTTTGGCGCTGTCTTCCTACCGGCGGAGGCAGGGCGACAGCGCCATCTGCAGTCCGACTTCCTCAGGACAGTACCCCAGGTGTGTGAGAGTAAAAAAGCCCCTCATCCCCCTCAAGCCCCTCATTTTGGATACTGTTATGCTTTTCTATGCCTTATTTCATGTTCAAAGTATATTTTAATTAATTTTATGTTTTATACATCACAACGCTGCTCTAAGGAACATTTTTTTTTTTTTTTTTTTTTTGGAGAGAGAGAAAAATGCTGAATAAATAGCCCAGTGTCAGCAGCAGTTTTGCAGCTTCGTGCAAACCGTTTGACCTCACAGTGTTAGGATTCATTTGCTCGACGGTTCGCTGGTACTTTTTTTTATTTAACCAATCGCTGCTATTTGGTCGTGATTTACGTAATGCGTCACTAACGGCGCTAACTGGTATATAAGCTTTTCCCAAATCCCGTAGGAAGAAGGACAAAAATCTTTAAATTCACCAAACATTCTCTTTGTTCCGGCTTTAAATCCTCGATCTCAGGAATCGTTGCCAACACAGAACACATGGCTCTTCTTTGATTGGCTGGTGCCTGAACTCGCACTTCTGAGGTTTTTGTAAACTGTCTAGTGTATTTTGATTCCTGACCTAGTCGCTGGAGAGAAATGAAATTGAGCGGAGGCCCTAGGTGTAAATTGTAAATTAATAAATGCATCAAGTAACTAAAAAATAATCGTTTGAATAATCATGATTTCAATACTGACCAAAATAACCAAATTATTTTTTTCCATAATTGATCAGCTCTGGTCTAGATGATAAAGTTGTTGTGAGGATGTTGGTTTCCACAGACCTGAACGCAACAACGCTCACTTCCAATTTGTGTTAGCTGTGCTCATTTACGCATACAGTCTGTGAGTAGTATTTAGAGTATTTGCATGTCTCACCTGTATCCATTCTGGGTGTTGACGCAGACTCCCCCGTTCAGGCAGGGGTTGGTGGGGTAGGAGGAGCAGGGCCTGTGCGTCCTCTCCCTGGCAGCGCACCCACAGACAGCTGCGGTGGACACCTTGAGCGAGACCAGGGACAGGGCGCCGGAGTCGAGCGTGGTGGGGGTGTCAGTGACGGTTAGGGCGGTGGAGCAGCCAGTGGAAGCTCTGCAGTCCACATGAACGCACTCATCCACCTGCACCTGCCTCACACCCGCCCTCAGGAGAGACTGCAGCTGTGGGGAGGACAGGAGAAGATGGAGAAAGGGAAAAGGTTATGCAGATAGTGTACGGTTTTTAATTGTATTCTTTGTACAGTGTCTTTGGGGGTTTAGAAAAGCGCTGTATAAATAAAATGTAGTGATGTGTTTCAGATGACGTTACTGGAATTTTCGGACTATAATGCGAAATATCAATGATGTTGAATTCTCCCGTCTATTTTCATACATAAGTTGCACCGGATTACAAGGCGCATTAAGCGAAACAAACGGACGACACTTGAGACTGATCCTTTAGCCCAGGCGTCCACGATCCATCAGCAGATCGTGGTGTAATTCGCACGGTGTTTCCTCCCTGTCTTGGTGAATGTGGATTATGAATGTGAATGTGGGTGGATAATTTAAGTTTTTTGTTTTGGTTTTTTTTATTGGCCAGGCACGTTAATGTGTTAATTTTGCGTTAACTAATTAATTCATTAACGCCAACAATTATTTTTTCGCCGTTAACACAGTTATTATTATTATTATTATTATTAATTATTATTGTAAATGTCTGTTGCTCACTGGCTTTTATTTTGAAAAAGTCCACCGCGAGCGTTTCTTTAAGTTTGACGTCTTTTCTTGACACTTTTTTCCCCCTTTTTTTTCTTTTTTTTTTTTTTTTTTTTTTTAATAATTTTTATTTGCAAACTACATAGATTACAACAAATAGGAACCAAACGACATACAAGATACAAGACAGACATTACATACAAATAGGAACAAAGATGACAGGGGTTGGTGACAGTGTGAACCTTATGTGCGTGTCTGTGTGTGTGTGCGTGTCTGTGTATGTGTATGTGTGTGTGTATACGCGTGTGTATGTATGTGTGACCACGTGGATGCAACGAGATGCACCTCCATCAAGCGGTGCGGCTTCGTAGTTTACCAAAGTCGTACTATAACATTTCGACACATTTTTGAGCGCCGTGTACCACATAAAATCATTTCGAGGTCAGTAAGCACAACCAGAGTTAATACAAGTTAATACATAAGGTGCACCAGATTATAAGGCGCACTGTTGATTTTTGAGAAAATTAACGGGTTTTAAGTGCGCTTTATAGTCCAAAAAATATGGTACAATATTCTATAGACCAATGTTATTTAATACAGATGTGGGACAGTTAAATTAATATTGTGAAAATGCAGATTCACTGATAGAAACGATCAGGTTCAACATTTAGGACACTTAACAAAACTTACTGCATCAAAATGTACATGCAGCGTTTCCAAGTGTTTTGTTAAAGTCCTATATTACACGACTCTTGTGAGCTTTAAGTCATGTTATAAAGTCGTTTCCTTTTCAAAAACAAAGCTGGAGTTGTGTTTTGATTCATTCACATGTTTGGGTAACACTTTATTATCAGTCTGTCTGCATCTCCAAAGCTCAAAATGCTCAGCTCCACCTTGTGATACCTTTAGATTTGATTGATTGATTCGTTTTTATTTTGAGTTTGTGCCAAGAGAGAAACAATAATCATACACATACTACATACACATTGTAAACAGCAGAAAAGCACATTTCTCAAAAAGAAGAAAAAACTTATATGAAACCATCCCTGTTCATGACGCAGTTTCAAAAATGTGGTTTCTTACGCACATTGATCACGAAACTTTACAAGTATTTACATATAGCAAAATAAATTACATACTATGGTTGTACAAACTAATAATAATGATAAAGAAGGCAAAGAAGTTTATATCAAAATAAGCAAAATGAGAATGAAGAATGTAAGGATTTTTTTTTTTTCTTTTTCTTCCATTTATGGTTGTACTGGCAGATAGAAACATGCGCAGCCAACAAAAATTGTGACTTCCTGCTGGGTCCAAAGACAAAAATAGAACAAAAAAGGGAAAGTGCGGATCTTTTTCCTTTTTTTTTTGTACCATTTAAAGTATGGTCGTACAAACTAATAATAATGTTAACGAAGGCAGAAAAGTTTATCGTTTATGACAAAATAAGCCACAATGAGAATGAAGAATGATGTAACGATGTAAGGATTTTTGTTTGTTTGTTTTCATTTACGGTCGTACAAACTAATAATAATGATAAAAAAGGCACAAAATGTATTTATGATTGTATAAAAATTAAAGTTAAGGTTAAAGAAAAGCATGTGTTTAGTTAATAGTCGTGGTTTACTTCAGAAGACAATGTATCTAGTGTTCTAGGCATTTCTGTCAAAAAGTTCAGTAGAAATTGGCAATTTCAGGTCTGAAATTATCCAAATGATTCTAGTGAAGGTGTGTGGACTTTAAAAACACAGTGGAGCACGCATATTTAAGGTGGAAGTGTTTTCAATTTGAAAAGAACTCAGCCTAAATATGCAGGATTTGTATGTTAAACGTGTATAAATGCAACAAAACACAACTCCAGAATCCCTGTATCATTCGTTCATTCGTTTGACAATATAAAACCAAAAATAAGAAAATGAAAAAACAACAGTTTTCTTCATGATTTGTCTCCAAAACCAAAATGAAAAAAACGTATAACGATTCTTTTTTTTTTGGTTTTCGAATTTGTGTTTAAATTAAAAATGGAAAAAATGGATAACGGCCGTTTCCCGTTTACGTGATTCCGTGACTGCGATGCCGGACTTTTGCACCGCATACGGACTGAACCAGGACTGATCCAGGTCCGAGACCAGACCGGGACAGACCGGGACCAGACCAGGACCAGAGCGGGACTGAGACTGGGACCAGACTGGGACCAGAGCGCTACTGAGACTGGGACCAGACCAGGACCAGAGCAGGACTGAGACTGGGACCAGACTGGGACCAGAGCGCTACTGAGACTGGGACCAGACCGGGACCAGAGCGGGCCTGAGACCGAGACAAGACCGTGACAAGACGACCGGGACCAGACCGAAGGCTCAGAGTCCACGGCAGGGCCGGAGCTCGAAGCTGAGGCTCGGACCCCGCGGAGGCTCAGAGTCAAAGCTCGGAGTCCACCCTGGTCCGGCTCTGGTCCGGCTCTGGTCCGGCTCTGGTCTCTGGTCCGGCTCTGGTCCCGCTCTTGTCCGTCTGTCCCGGTCTCAGTCCCGGTCTGGTTCCGGTCTGGTCCCGGACCTGGATCAGTCCTGGTTCAGTCCGTACGCGGTGCAAAAGTCCGGCATCACAGTCACGGAATCACGTAAACGGGAAACGGCCGTTATCCGTTTTTTCCATTCTTCATTTAAACACAAAATCGAAAACTGAAAAAACAAATCGTTATCCATTTTTTCATTTTGGTTTTGGAGACAAATAGTGAAGAAAACTGTTGTTTTTTCATTTTCCTATTTTTGGTTTTATATTGAAAAATGAATGAACGAATGATACACTGATTCTCCAGGTATGTTTTTTTTTTTTTGATGAGGAAACAGCAACAACATCGATCAGAAAATAACGTAATATGAGCCTCTTAAAATCTGAGATCGGCTCTTTGAATGATTTTAAAAAGTTCGGAGTCCAGACCTCTGAAATCTTTGTTACTAATATTTCAACAACTTCTATTAGTGGTAAGAAAAATGGTACCTTTAATTACTCTTAACCAAGGTCAGAAAAAGGTCTTTACTTTTTATTCAACAGTGTTTTTAAAAGGCCCATTTTGCCATTATAAAATATTTAAAAGCCTAAATAGCAGCCTACTAAAACACTGCCACTGTACAGTAATATGTAAACCTGCAGAAGCTGAACGTGTCACTCCATTTTCTGTCGTGTTTTTTGAATTTCAATCAAAGCTGACAATATTAAAGCTACACTGTGTAACTTTTCTGGTAGAGACTCCATCACCTGCTTCACTTCACGTATAGTAGACGTTGTTTTTGTTTCCTGCTATGTTCTACAGTATGGCATTTAATTTAACTATCTCCATGGAGACAAGCAGCCACATCACCAGGTCAAGTTACAGGTCAGATCTGTGGAGACGTGGGTCCGCTCATGGTATTAATGCATGTTTTTGTGGTGGTTTTGAGAAAGAAAAACTCGTATAATTGAATAAATGTAAGTTTTATTTGTTTAATGCCATACTGTGGAGCATCCAAGGCAAATCTATACTGTATTTTTCGGACAATAAGTCTCATTTTTTTCATGGTTTGGGTGTTTTCTGCGACTTATACTCCAGTGCGACTTATATATTAAAAATTTTCACACTGACAGTCGCGTGAGGTTCTAGTCTTGTGTGTCAATATCTGCTGCTCCTGTTCCTCCTGTACCGCTGTCACTTCACTCTACTGCGCATGTCTCCTGCAGAAAGAGCCTGTATCATGTCAGTCGATCGCACCATTACTTCTGTACCACTGAAAATTTAAACACACTTGTAAAGACAACTCAAAAGACTCAACACAAATGCCCCCAAAAACAAAATCATATTTTGCAGATTACAAATCGCAAGTAGTGAAATATGCAGCCGAAAACGGTAATCGCGCAGCAGAAAGAAAGTCTAGAGTGAGAACTGAAACTTGTGACAATCGGGTGCACTATGCAGCTTTCCTGGAAGTCACTGGATGGATCGACAAAGCCTGGACTTCAGTGACAAACAAAACTATCTTGTCAGGATTCAGAAAGGCCGGAATAATTCTAACTGGAACTGACGCTGAGTCTGACGACAGCGACACAGACGAGGAAGCGGCGCTCTGTTTACCTCCGGAAGTCGCGGAGTTGCTCAGAAGTGAAACAGAGGATGAAGAATTCAATAGATTTAGTGATTTGGAGTGAGATGGAGAGTTTGGTAAACTTGTTCTGTTGTTTATGTTATAGTTTATCTGAAGAACTGTTCATATGTGACGTTAACAGTCTGTTGTTCTCTGTTCTATTGTTTTTACTATAACTTGTATTTTAAGATGAAATGTCAGTTCCTGGTCTCTGATTTTATCAAATAAATTTCCCCCAAAAAGCGCGATTTATATATGTTTTTTTTTTCTTCATTAAGCATGTTTTGGCTGCTGTGACTTATAGTCTGAAAAATACGATAATATCACTACAGAGACACGCACACAGAGGAACCTCCACCACAAAATTTACTCTCTGCACCTTTAACGCGTTCTGTTTCTCGAGTGTGTATCTGACTCTATCTGGTAATACAAAATATTGGGCGTCTGTGTCTAATAAATGTACACAGCCCCAGTAAATGTTGAGTAACAGTCGTGCCAGGGGTTCTGTACACGCAAAAGATAACCATTAAATGAAAAAAAATGGATGGAAAAATAATATTCTCCCCCATCCGGGCTTTTTACAGCTTGTTTGTAAATCACAACAGCAGGTAGTTAAGCGAGACACGGCTAAATGAATGGAACAGACAAGAAAAAATGGCAGTTCACGCGGGGAGTCTGTGCGAAATAAGAGGCCAGATAAAAAGCTCTGTTATCTCTTCCCCTCTCAGTCCTGAGTGTATCCGAAGATATACGAGCATTGATCACTATCGCACAGACCGGATGGAATTTGTACCTTTTTTTTATGAGCAGCCAGGACAGCGTGCAGTTTCTCCGGGTGAACGTAGCTCTGATCAGTGAGCACATAGAAATGAATGTCCACCATTTTCTCCCCTCTGTCGGCTATACTGAAAATGTTGATGCTCGGAGCTTTGACGGACAGCGTTTCAGACAGGAAGTCCCAGAACGTCTCCAGTCTGCTCTTCCCCTCCACGCGGGAGTCGATAAAATCTCTGGCGGTAATGCCTTCAGGAGACAAAGAGAGCAGAGGAACATGTGGTTAGAACTGGACTTATCAATGACAACTACAGTGGAGATCAAAGGCACAAGTCATTTTCTTTACATTAACGCCCGAGGAAACCCAATATCTCTCTCTATCGATCCAATTCTCTCAAATAATCTGTTAATTGAATGAGCTCTGATGACGTCAAGTAAATGTTTTTTTCACTAAAAATAGAGTGGTGCGTGTATTACTGATTTTGTTTATTGATCGTATTTTGGTCCGACCTGTCAATAATATGCACAGGGGAACGCACGCAGAAGTCCTCTTAATCTCAAAAAATGGTAATGACTTTGAGACAGAGGCATTTGTAATAGTCTTCGACTCTGATCGCAAAATGGCTTTTAAATGTCAAGGACTTTACCTGACACTTCCAAATTGACCTTTATAACTCCAATTTGCTCAGTGAGACTGACAGAAAAATGAACACTCTCAACATAAACTTCAGAGTGTGGGGGAACGGGAAGAATAAGGAAACTATTACCAGGCAGCAGTGGGACTGCCTGTTTAACAATGCTTAGTAATGTTAAATAACGCAAGTAGAAAAGGCTCTTTGTGACAGCCTGTTATTTTAGTGTTAACTAGATTGACAAGATGATAATCATTCAATAGAAAGTACCAATTTATCCATGCCTGTGGCAGAAGCTGGCTCTTTCAAAATTAGCTTCATAAAGGAATTTAACAACAACAGTGACAACAAAGAAGAGCGAGGAAGCTTTTGTGTCAAGAAACTGCAAAGGAAAATCCCATTACTTTGTAAAAACAACCATTACATGGTTTAAACTGCCTGGTCAAAATGTCAGCGCCGCTTTGACTTCACACATGGACACAGTCCCTGCAAAACTGTGCACAGTCAAAGAAGTGATGGACTTTCAGACTGGGGAATGGTGAAAAGGTGCAGAGAAGCAGAGCTGAAAAATAACTACAAGAACTATGTACAGAATGTGATGTCTTATCTGCTGTGACAGACCGAGTAACCAGGACTACATGCTTTTCCTCTTCACTAAACAAAGACATAGAGAACTGTCTCGCGCTATAACGGCCAGTGGAAAAGTAACGGCTGTGATCGGTCAAAAACCTCCGGACATTCGTGCATTCAAGCAGCTTTGCTCCACTTGTCAGTTTATACATATTATATTTTATATCTGAATAATAGTGCTTGAATTCCTCTGCTCTTTACAGTGGAGACAGACCGACTGGTTGGGCAATAAACCTGGTCGATATTTACACTCATGATCGTATCATTATCAGCCTCGAATCTCCTAGTAAATTTAAATAATCATAATCATCTGTCTATATCGGCCCAGAAATATCGGTAGAGCTTAACGGCCATTGGCTGTTCTAGATTTTAAACTATACTAACTATACTGAAAAATTTGCGAGATCAGATATTGGCTTTCAAATATCGGTCCAGTCGATATCCTGGACATATAAACAGTAATAAGATTGTTTACTGGTGCATCTGGCTCAGAAAGGCTCATTATGTTTAAACTTTTATTTATACAAAGTTGTTCTGTGGTTTCTTTTTTTAATTTTTTTTTATGTCCATAGAATGTGTATATTTACAAAAGTTTAAGAATAAGCCAAAGAAAAAATGACAGAGAGACAAAAACAAGTATTTACTAAAGTTGTTCTGTGGTTTCTTTAGAGATAAATAACAGCTCTATAGCACATTTGGATCAGTTTTGTCTCATTGTGTTTTAGTTTTAAGAAAATAAATGCTGTTTTCAGACTCTGCGCTGGTTTTAGTTGAAATCGGCAGATACTTAAAGTCGAATTTAACCTCTACTAAACATCATTGACAGTTTCCATTGTCTTGCGTGTACGTGAAAGTCGTACCTGAGAGTTGCAGCGAGGCGGACGACTGGACAGCCCTTTCCTCCAGCTCCCTGATGTGAACTCTGACCCCAGACATCACGTCAGGCCAGACCCCATCAGACACCCCGACTCTGAGCCAGTAACTGCCCGCAGGAGTGTTCTGGCGCAGGGTCAGATCCCCGCTGCTCTGGTTCAAACTGAAGTACCTGAAGGAGGAGAGAAGAGATAACGACAAGTGGACGGCTACAGTGCGACGCTCAGACAAGTGGCTCCTAATCTCCAGGAAAGAGAAATCGCGGACAGACAAATCACAAGAATGTAATTGGAAGACGGTACGGGCTTAAAGGTGCAATGTGGAACTTTTCTGATTGCTGCTTGTCCCCATTGGAATATTTCACAGTATGATTTTGAAGGGTTTATCTTACACTAGTTTTTTTATCCAGGGGTGGGCAAATATTTTTTCCATGAGGCGACATGAGAAACAGAAAATATTGTGGAGGGTCAGGCCAAAACGCTTCACTCAAATCTGCATAATATTAATTGTTTTTCTTAATAAAAAGTAGTAAATATCACACTGGGCGATATTTTCGGTCGTGTCACTCAGCCCCAGTTTAAACTGTACGACCAAATCGCAGGGTTTAAACCACGGGTGTCAAACATAAGGCCCGGGGGCCAGATCCGGCCCTCCAAGACCTTTAATCTGGCCCTTGGCTGATTTTCTACTAAAATATTTTAATTATATTTTCTATTAAAATCTTGCTAATTTTCTGTGGTGTTTATCACAGCAGCGTCTCCAGCGTCTCTGTACGTGGCCCCTCCCACCAGAGCAGCACAAATGAAGACTTGTCTCTTTCCAAACGCTCTTAAAGGACGATCGTTTTGACTGTTGACCGTGACACCCTCATCAGAAAAATGTCCAACATGAGAAAAGTGGAGCCGAGTGCAGGATTTTCCAAGAAAATTAACTTATCCCTATTTACATATAAGTTCATGTTAAAAAATCGTGTTGAAATTGTATTTTTCTTAAAGTTTCAGGTTGTTCATAATATTATAATATTTTGTAAAAGAAAGAGTTCATCAGTTAAAAAAGATTTCTGTAATAGATTTGTGTTTCTCTGCACAAATATTTGAACTTATTTTTATTTTTGGGGTTTATATGCCATGAGTTTTCTGATCCGGCCCCTTTGGGATCAAAGTAGGTTGGATACGGCCCCCGGACCAAAATGAGTTTGACACCCCTGGTTTAAACGTTCAAAGCTCACGAATCATGTTCTCACACTGAACGAACCGATGCTCAGATGCGACCTGCCTGCGCACACTGTACGTTCACAAAACGACCGGAGTTGTTGTTCCAGAAGTAGAAAACCACGAAGAAGAAAACGACGGAATTAGAAAATCATGGAGGTGCGGAAACTCATCCAGGCAAAAAACAAACGCGCTGCCTTGGCAATTTGTGCCGCGACAAGCCCGAAAACAAGAGGTGAAGAATACGGTCAGTACGGGTTGACAGTTCTTCAGAAGGAACTGGTGGAAAGTAGCATCAAGTTTTTCACCAAACTTCTGTTCTGTGTTGCTTGATTAGCTGCGCTTCCATGTCCCGTGTCCTCACCGCTCGCCGGCGCCATCGTCCTCCACAACCTCATATCCTGCTTCTGCTTCCGTGTCCGTGCATGAGCAGTCTGACCGATTCTGACAAATTGGCTCGTGGAAATACTTCAACAGAGTGAAACCCTCACGAGAAGCGACTGGATTTCAAACGAGTCTGATTTTCTTGCGACCTACAAATGCCGATCGGGAGCTGGTCGTGAGGTATAAATCTGTTTTCTTTACCCCATGTAAACTACACAAAGCACGACACACGATGAAGCCAAAACTCGGTCTGATCCCCAAAATAGTCGCACCAGTGAATAATCGTCTCAAAAAGGGTCAAAAATCGCACAGTGTACGTCCAGCTTAAGAGTTTATGTTATGACTAAGCAATAAAAAAGTGAGGTTGTCTTACAAAAAATGTCATAAAAAACACCTCTAAAGTAAAAGTTGGTGGTGGTTTAAAATCACAGATGTAGTAAAATTATAAAATATGTTTATTTTGTAATTCCAAATGATCTTAAATCAATTGGTTTGTGTGTGGGCATGTTTTAAAATGGTAATCACATAAAATTATTTTTTCTGACTTTGAGATTTTTTATAAAAATGTGTTGTTGTGTTAGTGCTTAAGGAGCATGTTTTAATAAAAGCTGAGAGTCTTACCTTTTAAATGCAATTTATTTTCTGTTTTTATGTGCTTCAGCGGCTGAGATATTAAGGTTTTTATAGGTGTTGATGATTCTTCAAAAACCCTCAGGAGATAAGGACCTTTAACCTAGAATAGCATAGGTTTTTATCGGTGTTTTTTGCAGGAGTTTTAGGTGTAAATGGCTTAAAGGGGCCGGTCAGAGTCAACCAAAAGTCCCTATGTGACCCAGGAGCTGGACAATGCCCAGATCTGTTATTATCTACGCCACAAACATGCCTCAAGTTCTGTTTTGTTTCATTCACACATGTTTAACACACAGATCCTGCATATTTAGGCTCAGTTCTTCTCAAACATTAACATTAAAACATATAGGAATTGCTTCATACACCTTCACTAGAATGATTTGGATCATTTCTGATCTGGAATTTCCAATCTTTACTAAACCTAAAAGGTAAAATGTAGTTGTTAACTTGAAAACTACAGCTTCATGACATCACAAGGTGGAACAGAGCATTTTGAGCTTTGGAGATGGAGACAGACTAATAATAAAAGATTATTCAAACATGTGTGAATGAAACAAAACACAACTCTGGGTCTGTTTTTGATGAGGTAACAACATTATAACATGGGGTAAAGCTCAGAGGTTCCCACTTTTTTCACTGACAAAATTTCAAAACTTTTTAATGACTTTTTCATGACCTAAAGTGAATTTTCCATGACTTTACGGCACCTACATGTGTAGAATTGGTCAAACGTTTAGGGCTAAATATGAAATGTTAACCCTTTCCACTCACCTTATGGTTTGGTATTATAGTTTTTTAACATTAAAAACATTGTCAGTGCATTTGTTGTCGTCTCTTTTAAACAAAAAGCGCAGACGTTTAGAAATAATCATAATAGTCTAATGAGAACTTAACAGAACGCTGTAGTTGCATGAAAGAGACACTAAAATAACATGATTTTTCTAAAACTTTCATTGAATTTACAAATTTCCATGACTTTTCCAGGCCTGGGAAATGACATTTTCAATTTCTATGGCTTTTCCAGGATTTCATGACTGTGGGAACCTTGTACAACAGGCAAAATGATTTGTGCTCTTAAATATTCCCTTTCAAATAAAATAGAAAAAAGAAATAGAAATAGCAAAAAAAAAAAAAAAAAAAAAAAACGCTTGTATTGATCACAGGCTCTTCAAATATGTTGTTTAAATCCATTTTGCTTTTTTTGTTGAGTTTTCAGACGATCTTCAGACGGTTTTTTTGGCTCTTGCTGATGACATTTTCAGTTTCCATGACTTTTCCAGGACTTCCATGACCTTGGGAACCCTGTTGTGCATTTTATTTACAGCGTCTCACGTCCCTCAAAAACGTGTATTCTCACTGTGAGCAGGCTCGCCTCTCCACAGATCCTGTAATTTGGCCTAGTAATACCGCTGCCCTTCCGCTTGTCTCCGTGAAGATAAATACGTTTAAAGCTGCACTGCGGAACATTCCGGGTACCGGCAAATGTTACGCAGCTCCCCCTTTTAAACCCGAACAGCGAGAGCGCGCAATTATCAAAAGATCACAAAGGGAAAAACACAATCGGAATACACAATGCCTGCCACGCGAACTTGATGGTTGTCATGGTAACTGTCTGAATTTGCCAGATGAATAAAACAAATATTCAATTGGTATTTCTAATCTGATCCAGAGGGTGTGAATGCTGAGCAGCTGCACGGGCCCCTGACAGAGGAGGGCGGCGTAAGGAGCTTTCAGTCGAACAACATTGTACAGGTGGAATCGGATTACGTAGTTTGTTTGACTTTGATCAGATTTTCCGGCATAGTAGTCACGGTGATTAAAGGACAAATCGCAAAAGAGAACCGAGAAAGACCAGAGAATCTAATCTAAAACTGAGGAGTACCCGAGGAGTTAAGAAAGTGGCCGCGGGAATGTGATATCTTTGTACGAGCGAATGAAGTGCAAAAGTAAATGTACGATACTAAGTCAAAATGTTTAAAGATAGCTGTACTTTTGAGTCATTTGTGTCATTTTTACAGTAGATACCTGCTGAAATGACTTATTTTTAGCACATTTATTTGTTAACGTCCTGAATTTAAGCCGACAAATGCACAAAACACGACTACAAAACTTAAGAAATCAGATGAATCGCGTAAAATCAGCTAAATTATTTATCAAAAGCTCGACATTTCATGCTTTAAGATTTTAAAAAGTACAAAGACGTGCATTGAATTGTGTGTCTGTGTTCCAAAAGAATTAATTAGGTATTCTTTCCTGCACTATAAGATGAGATTTGTTTTGTTTTCTGTAAATAGTTCTGCTGTCTTGCATTCTGTTCTATCTGTTAATAGAGTTTACCAAAATAAGTGTTCAAATTTCAGCATAAACCCCTTCCGTTTGTAGAAATACTTTAGTGATATGCATATTTTTTGTGTTAAGTCATTGTAATTTGATTAATGATTATGTTAACTGATCGAACAAAAAGAAACTCAACAAAACATGTTTAAACAGGTACTTAAATATTTTCACTTAAGTCGATTTTTTCATGTGATACTTTTACTTGATTATTGGTTTAAATTGTCCTTTTGCTTGCTTTTATTTAAAGGTTGTATGGAGGATTTTTTTTTTGTTTTTTTTTTGTTTCAAGTTGTCAATGATAGATTATAGAGGTGCAGTAGCCTTGTAATTATGATGACCAAAAAAAAGAGAATAAAAATTCATCAACTCTGGACGTGGTGGGGCTAAACATTTGCCAATAGATAACGACACTGCCTCGTTATCTGTGAGCTGACAGGCTGTCAATCAAACTCCCTACGTTTCTAGCGTAACTGACTTGCCTGCGCGCCGCCGTGGTTTACGTACGACTGTCACGCAGTCCACAGACGCAAGACGCACAGACGCTGTTTACTCCACCAACGCAACAGTTCTTAGTGGCTTTTTTTGACCTATATCTTCCTCGCAGTTCGCACAAAGTTTGTTGCAATGGCGACAAGAATCCAGGAGCAGTTCGCCCCAAAACAAAGTCAGTTTTTGAGGTCGCTGAAAGAAGAAGACAAGGGGAAAAGCAGCGAAACCAAACTAAGGTGATTCTTGAAGATTCATTCCAGCGATGGCGCGACTGAAGCAGACGCAGGGTCTAAAGACTGACGCACTGGTCCACCAAATTACTCCTGGACAGGAAACTTCTGCTTATTATGAAAACGTACTTTATTTCCAAGAGCTAGACAAACGTTTTTCAGGACACGAATGCGATATCCTATGTCTGAAAACGTCATTTTCAAGGCAAAGAAAGAGTCCGCTTGCTGCTGCGTGTTGTAGTAGTAGCTAGTTCATTCGCACTGAATCTCCGCGCCCCCCCCCTGCCCGTTCCGCTCTTCTCCCTGCTCCTCACGGAATCTCCGCACACCGCTTCCCTCTCCTCTCCTCTCCTCACTCCCTGCTCCGCTCTTCTCCTGCTCCTCTCTCCTCTCCTCACTCCCCGCTCCGCTCTCCTCTCCTCTCCTCTCTCCTCTCCTCACTCCCCGCTCCCCTCTCCTCTCCTCTCCTCTCTCCTCTCCTCACTCCCCGCTCCGCTCTCCTCTCTCCTCTCACTCCCGCTCCCCTCTCCTCTCCTCTCCCTCTCTCCTCTCCTCACTCCCCGCTCCGCTCTCCTCTCCTCTCTCTCTCCTCTCCTCACTCCCTCTTCTCCTCTCCTCTCCTCACTCCCCGCTCCGCTCTTCTCCCTGCTCCTCACGGAATCTCCACGCACCGCTTCCCTCTCCTCTCCTCTCCTCTCTCCCTGCTCCGCTCTTCTCCCTGCTCCTCACTTCTTGTTCGCGCACGAAATGTCCGCACACCCGCTCCCCCCGCTCCTCACTTCTCCGTCTTGCCTAACCAACACTGTAGTTAGTTGTTTACAAGTCATGTGCAGCACCGGCTGTAAACAAACCTGTTTCTGGCGTAAGGAGGAGGCGGGAGGAGGTGTTTCTACGTAGGAGCTGTAGGGGAGGGGGGGTGGTTTCACGCATGCGCAACATTTGAAAAAGGACAAACAGTCGCTGGATTTCTCGTTCCTTGGAAAATCCTCTATACAACCTTTAACTACAGGTGTTATTTATTGCTCAGAAATGTCTTTAAAAATATCCTTTTTTAGGTATCTGTACTTCACTAAGTCATTTTCTTACAGTAAATACCTCCTGAAATGGCTGAGACTTATTTTTAGCAGATTTAATTTGTTAACGTTCCAGACAAATGCACAAAAAACAGCTACAAAAATTAAGAAACCAACTGAATCACTTAAAACCAGCTAAATTCTTTATCAAAAGCTCTACAGTTCATGCTTTAATAGATTTTCAAAAGTGCGTTTTTTTGGATATTGGTTAAAATTGTTCAGATATTAAACTAATCTCTCTTGCATTTATTTAACTACAGGTGTTATTTATTACAAAAAAAAAAAAAACATCTTAAAAATATCCTTTTGTGAGTTGGGCTGCAAAAGACAACAACAAAGTATAGTTTTTAGGTATCTGTACTTTACTAAGTCATTTTTTGAAATGGCTGAGACTTATTTTTAAGACATTTAATTTGTTAACATTCCAAACAAATACACAAAAAACAGCTACAAGAAGTTTAAAATCAATTGAATCACTTAATCACTTCTTTATCAAAAGCAACACATTTCATACTTTAATAGATTTTCAAAAGTGCATTTTTAAACAGGCACTTTTACGTAGTTTCACTTAACTAGATTTTTTCATGTGATACTTTTACTTGAGTAATCTTTTGCCCTATATATCTACTTTTACTTGTAAGTGCAATGTGGAACTTTTCAGGAGGGGGTCGGCAAACTGTTTTGTTTCCTTGGAGATGTTAATGTTTTGGTTTAAATTGTCCAGACTAATTAAACTAAATAATTAAACAAAATAATTCACTAACCAATCTGTCTTGTGCACTGTAAACCAAATGTTCAAATTAATTAAATAGATTAAGTTGTGTTTACTCAAAGTTTTAGAAATAATCCTACTAACTTAATTATGTCAAGTTGCGGTAACATGTTATTCTTTTTGAGTAATTTTAACTTTTTTTTTTTTGTTTGTCTCATTTATTTTGGAGTTCAGGTAAATTATTTCAGTTTACGGTGTATTTATTTAACTACAGGTGTTATATCTTAAATTTTTTTCTTAAATATCTTTAAAAATATCCTTTTGTGAGTTTGTTTGTTTGTTTTTATTTAGATCCCCATTACGTAATGAGTCGGGTCACGTCTCCACAACTCTAACTTCTAATTTGGCCTGTAAGACTCTGTGGAGATACTGTGGAACATTCTTGGTGCATCACCATGGCGACAAGCAGGTGACGACCCCTCCAGCAGAAATGTAACACAGTGCACTTTTAAGTAACAAAACTGAGCACTTGTACCAGACTTCCAGCCCGTTTGCTGACTTCACATGGGTTTTATTCCCTTTATTCGAGTCTGTGGCGTCGCTTCCTCCGCTCTATTCCTTTAGTATTTGTACTTGGGCGGCACATTTGAAGATCAGCACGTTTACAGAAAGAACAGATACGTGTTTAACAAAGGAGCTCTTACTTGGCCGCGCTCGACTCCAGCGTGTACGTCTTGTTGTCCCAGTCGTCCGGATCTGGGGCATACACCCTCCCGAGCGCCGCGTTCGCCATCCTCCCTGTTTAAGGTAAACACACACACACACACACATACACATCGATTATGTCTGGACCGAATCTGCTGATGCTCACAGTTATCTTTGGGTCTCTCTTCTCTGTATCTTGCATTCTTGTGTTCTGTTCTACTTATTATGCTCGTAGCCGTAGAGCCCCACTGGTGGAATGAATAGACTCTTACTGCTCCACTTGAGAAGGCAGGGAGCTTAAGGAAGAGCGGCTATCTCTGTATGGATTATGTTATTATCGACCTGGAGTGCCAGAGTACTGCAGATGGGTAAACAATGCTAGCCTGGATGAGTCAGTGGGAGCCTGTTTTCCACAATAGGCTCTGTACACAGCAGCACGCTCACTGTATCTCAAAGCAGCCACTTTTATTAAAATCGTAAAGCAAAATAAGCAAATACGGAAAATAAGGACGAACCAGTTTTTTTTCATACGCAAAGTACTTGAGTTTGTGGTATTGTTTTGATACGTATTACTGTCCGTAGGGCGACCGGAGCGTCAAAATTCAATGGTTGAGGAGGGACCAAGCCGTTGTTTTGCAAGTCTCAAGTCTTTCACCTCAAGTCCGAGTCAAGTCCCAAGGCAAGTACAAGTCAAGTCTATAGTCACTGGTGCATAATTCCAAGTCAAGTCCGAGTCGTCTCCTTTGAACTTTAAGTAGTACCAATTACAGCTTATATTTTTGTAATTTATTTGACTTTTAAACTAAAATCTATTTAAAAAGTCATGGTATAGTATATTTATATGTGGGTATTTATATAATAGTTGTAGAAATGCATTTTTGTTCCTTTTTAAATGTCTTGACAAGATTTTAGTGTGAATTATTTCGGTCAGAATAGAAAGAATTCAGATTTAAAAGTGCTAAATAACAGAAAACCAGGTTTAGACCTGGTTTAGACCTGGTTTAGACCTGGTTTAGACCTGGTTTAGAGCTGGTTTTAGCCCTGGTTTAGCCCTGGTTTAGTCCTGGTTTAGACCTGGTTTAGACCTGGTTTAGAGCTGGTTTAGAGCTGGTTTAGAGCTGGTTTTAGTCCTGGTTTAGACCTGGTTTAGACCTGGTTTAGACCTGGTTTAGACCTGGTTTAGAGCTGGTTTTAGTCCTGGTTTAGCCCTGGTTTAGACCTGGTTTAGCCCTGGTTTAGTCCTGGTTTAGACCTGGTTTAGACCTGGTTTAGTCCAAGTCTTTGACATCAAGTCCCAAGTCAAATACAGGCAAGTCCAAGTTGAGTCTCGAGCCACCAGTGCATAATTCCAAGTCAAGTCCAAGTCATCTACTTTGAACTTTAAGTAGTACCAAATATAGTTTAGATTTTTTGTAATTTATTTGACTTTTAAACTAAAATGTATTTTAAAAGTCATGGTATAGTATATTTATATGTGAGTATTTGTATAATAGTTGTAGAACTGCAATTTTTTTTCCTTTTTAAATGTCTTGACAAGATCTTAGTGTGAATTATTTTGGTCAGAATAGAAAGAATTCAGATTTTAAAGTGTTAAATAACAGTTATTTTGTCAAGTAGTCTGCACTGAAATAGAAGAATCGTGTACTTTGTAGTTCCCTCGGTTTTGCTGTATTGTACTATATATTACAATATTGTACTGTATATTTGTTATGACCCAGCTCTGCTAGGGACAGGGAAGTAACAAAAATAAAACCAAGATGTAAAATGGAATACATTAAATAATGTTTAATTAACAGGGGTGTAAAAGGTAAATTAACAAAAGACTAAAATATACAGAAAATAACCTAAACTAATAAACAAAACAACAGAATAAACTGAGTTTTGTGCCACAAAAGGGGTCACGCAGGCTTATACAAAACGAGTGGTTAACAAAGGGACACACATGAACTAAAACACAAGTTCCCTAAATTAAACCACATAAGCCCACAAACAGAATCGAGTGACCAAATCAAAAAAGGCACAAAACAGAACTACACACGCAAACACAAAATGGCAGACTGGCCACCAAGGTCAGCAGCCCCAATCAGGTGCTGGCAATTTCCTTAAATAAGGGGGAGGAGGCAGGAGGTGAGGCAGAATTGGCCAGGTGCAGAAGTAATCCACCAATCAGGAAGCGGGGCCCTCAAAGCAGGATTCAAGGGGAACAATATTGAAAATAAATCACACACAGAACTCAAGGAACGGCAGGCCTGGGGCTGTGACATTATTACTGCAGTACATTTGAGGATACCACATCACAGTACTTCAGTTTCATCCAAAGTACCAGAGAAGTGGAAGAGACATGTTCCAGTTTGTTCCTGTAAAATTCAGCACCGCAAATATCAACTGTAAAGAGAAAAGTATTTTCTGAACACATATTTTCCAAGTCTGACTTGAGTCACAACTTGCAAGTCCCCACCTCTGGTTGGTGTAAATAAAACTGTGAGAAGAGCGAGTAACATGGTGCGTTCTTGTGTCAGTCATGATCTGAGGGGCTTGTGTCAGTTTATGGTCATTCACAAACACAACCTTCTGTATTTTGGCAAAACAAATGACAATTTACTGTTCTGTTTGTGTTGGTGGGGATTACATCAGTCAACAATTGTGATACTCCTGTTTTAGTCCTGATGTAGTCCAAATTTAATCTTAGTTTAGTCCTGGTATAGACCTGGTTTAGACCTGGTTTAGTCCTGGTTTAGTCCTGGTTTAGATCTAGTTTAGACCTGGTTTTAGACCTGGTTTAGACCTGGTTTTAGTCCTCGTTTAGTCCTGGTTTAGACCTGGTTTAGTCTTGGTTTAGACCTGATTTAGATCAAGTTTAGACCTGGTTTAGTCCTCGTTTAGTCCTGGTTTAGACCTGGTTTAGATCTAGTTTAGACCTGGTTTAGTCCCAATTTAGACCTGGTTTATTCCTGGTTTAGATCTAGTTTAGACCTGGTTTAGACCTGGTTTAGATCTAGTTTAGACCTGGTTTAGTCCCAATTTAGACCTGGTTTATTCCTGGTTTAGATCTAGTTTAGACCTGGTTTAGATCTAGTTTAGACCTGGTTTAGTCTTTTAGACCTGGTTTATTCCTGGTTTAGATCTAGTTTAGACCTGCTTTATCCTGGTTTAGATCTAGTTTAGACCTGGTTTAGTCCTTGTTTAGACCTGGTTTAGATCTAGTTTAGACATGGTTTAGTCTGGTTTAGACCTGGTTTAGATCTAGTTTAGACCTGGTTTAGTCCCAATTTAGACCTGGTTTATTCCTGGTTTAGATCTAGTTTAGACCTGGTTTAGATCTAGTTTAGACCTGGTTTAGTCCAATTTAGACCTGGTTTATTCCTGGTTTAGATCTAGTTTAGACCTGCTTTATTCCTGGTTTAGATCTAGTTTAGACCTGGTTTAGTCCTTGTTTAGACCTGGTTTAGATCTAGTTTAGACATGGTTTAGTCCTGGTTTAGACCTGGTTTAGATCTAGTTTAGACCTGGTTTAGTCCCAATTTAGACCTGGTTTATTCCTGGTTTAGATCTAGTTTAGACCTGGTTTAGATCTAGTTTAGACCTGGTTTAGTCCCAATTTAGACCTGGTTTATTCCTGGTTTAGATCTAGTTTAGACCTGCTTTATTCCTGGTTTAGATCTAGTTTAGACCTGGTTTAGTCCTTGTTTAGACCTGGTTTAGATCTAGTTTAGACATGGTTTAGTCCTGGTTTAGACCTGGTTTAGATCTAGTTTAGACCTGGTTTAGTCCCAATTTAGACCTGGTTTATTCCTGGTTTAGATCTAGTTTAGACCTGGTTTAGATCTAGTTTAGACCTGGTTTAGTCCCAATTTAGACCTGGTTTATTCCTGGTTTAGATCTAGTTTAGACCTGCTTTATTCCTGTTTAGATCTAGTTTAGACCTGGTTTAGTCCTTGTTTAGACCTGGTTTAGATCTAGTTTAGACATGGTTTAGTCCTGGTTTAGACCTGGTTTAGATCTAGTTTAGACCTGGTTTAGTCCCAATTTAGACCTGGTTTATTCCTGGTTTAGATCTAGTTTAGACCTGGTTTAGATCTAGTTTAGACCTGGTTTAGTCCCAATTTAGACCTGGTTTATTCCTGGTTTAGATCTAGTTTAGACCTGCTTTATTCCTGGTTTAGATCTAGTTTAGACCTGGTTTAGTCCTTGTTTAGACCTGGTTTAGATCTAGTTTAGACATGGTTTAGTCCTGGTTTAGACCTGGTTTAGATCTAGTTTAGACCTGGTTTAGTCCCAATTTAGACCTGGTTTATTCCTGGTTTAGATCTAGTTTAGACCTGGTTTAGATCTAGTTTAGACCTGGTTTAGTCCCAATTTAGACCTGGTTTATTCCTGGTTTAGATCTAGTTTAGACCTGCTTTATTCCTGGTTTAGATCTAGTTTAGACCTGGTTTAGTCCTTGTTTAGACCTGGTTTAGATCTAGTTTAGACATGGTTTAGTCCTGGTTTAGACCTGGTTTAGATCTAGTTTAGACCTGGTTTTAGTCCTGGTTTAATCTTAGTTTAGTCCTGGTTTAGATTAAATTGGTCAAAAATAGGGACACCTGGGACATTTCTTGTATAAAACTTGGACAAATCAGTGGTTTTGTATAAATCTTCTGGGACAGGGGACACAGGACTCAAAACTGGGACTGTCCCAGTATTATGAAATTAGCATTAGCATTAGCGTTGAGACACAAACATTTGTCTTTCTTTCTAAACACAGACGTGTCCTTCACTGTTTTCATTTTATTTGTACTTTTTAACATGTCTGTCATGTCCGTCAGTGACATCCTCCCACAGCCCCCGTCCACTGTTTTATCTTTAATGTGAATGGCTCAACAATGCCCAGCAACCACCAGTGTTAGCGTCACTACTTCCTGTCCAATTGTGTATTTATGCTAAAATGAATAAATATTTAAAGATGAGGCGTTGGACAGTGAGTGGGTGGATGTGACAGACAAGACAACATGTTAAAAAGTACACAAATAAGACGAATACTTTAACGGACGTCACTTCTGTGTTTAGAAAGTTGAAGATTTATGTCTCAGTGCTAATGCTAATACTAATGC